ATTTCAGAGTTTTATTCTTTATTTTAAAAATATTTTACTTTATATTTACCTGTAAATATTGTTCCATCGAGAGAGAAAAAAGGGGAGTTTTAATTTTTAGGGAATGTTGAGTTTTACCGATGAACAATTTTAGATTTGTTTGGGTGGGTTTTGAAGCATCAAGTCTGTAACTGTCATAGGCTGCAACTGGTAATAGTTCACTCTAAAAAATATTACAATTAAACCTAGAACTAAAATTAATACTTTTACAAGAATTACTATTATACTCAATAATAGTCTTTCGGGTTGAAACGCGTCGATTATCATTACGCCGAGCTTTCAACATCCTCTTTAATATCTTCTTCAGAGCTTTCGAAATCTCAGTCTCCCGAATCCTCTGATATTACTACATTGATTGACTGCTACTGGGAGAGAGACTCATTGTCTGGTTGTTTCTTTCTCTGGGTGGTTTCTTTGTTTCTGGTGCTTTGATGTCCTGTTTTAGGTTTTACACCTCAGGACCTGGTTTGTTTTTTTGTGTTGTTACTGTTGTTTTTCTTTTGCTAGCCTTTTTTATTAATGTTCCCGACCTATTTAAGAGAGAGGATAAGTCCATTATTATTACTGATCACCTAACTATTTTTGCAAAAATACGAATGCCACTCCTCACATCCACCTCAAAACAGATCCGCCCTGGTGTAGTTTTAAAAATTTGGAAAATAACAGCGTCTTATATCGATTTTGAAGTACTTGCTTCTCATCACCTTCTTCTTATGGTGTCCTATCCAAGAAGATGTTGGCGACAATTCTGGCATACGCCTCTCGATCTTGTGTGGCTCTAAAAAGTGCATGGGCATCGAGGTTTGTCCAATCCCTTATGTTTTTAAGCCATGAGTATTTCTTTTTTCCGACGCCTCGTTTTACTTCCATAATAAGCTTTAAGAACTGGTACTTTGAATTTCGAAATATATGACCCAGATAAGCAGTTTTTCTTCTTTTTATTATTGGCAGCAATTCTCGTTCTCTGCTCATTCGATTTAATACTTCGACATTTGTTGTGTGATCTGTCCAGGGAATTTTAAGTAGTCTTCTAAATACCCACATTTTAAAGGCTTCCAATCGGTTCTTCACATTGGCCTTTATGGTCCAGGTTTCTACACCATAGAGCAGTATGGAGTAAATATAACATTTTACAAAGCGATATCGAAGCGTTAAGTTGAGGCTGCTGTTGCTTAGCAAGGTTCTCATATTAGTAAATGCTGTTCTGGCTTGCCCATACTGCTACGTATCTCTATGTCTGGATCTAGATCTTCGGGTATCCAACTACCAAGATATCTGAACTTGGGGACCTTTTGGATGTTCTTGTTGTATACTCTTATATTTAATTGCATTATACATAAAATATAACTCTAACCTTCGCTATCAATACTGTAGCAAACCAACAAAACATATACATTTGAAGGAGCAAAGAGCATTGGTAGCAAATATCTTTGAAGAACTCAACACTCATCGGTTCCACCTAAAACAAATAAATTGCACTTAATGATGCCAATGGATTCGAAACCTTGTTTTACTAAAGCGAAATTACTTACAACAGATATTTTAAACATGTTGGTACAGCACGAAATTAAGGTGCAAAAATATTGTTCCAAAATAACCATCGAGAACAAATTTTCAATGTTTCGAGTAAATCTAAAATGACATAAAACAATCTAAGATATAACAATTTATTTAAATGTAAATTATATATAAATATATTACGGCTTAGAAGGGCCGAAAATTAATATCTTTGTTAACGATTTCATTTCATGGATTTTTTCTTCCAGTTGGCAACTTCCATTACCTTTTTTTTATATCTTCTTTTACTTTACCTTTCCATCGAACCTTTCGTCTACCTCTTCATCTTTCTCTCAAATTTAGCTTGTTAAATCTATTTCTGTAGTTTTCTGGCTGTTTTTTTTATCTTCATTTTTTAATAGTAGAATTAGTTCGCTTGTTTTTTATTCTTCCAGTATTAAATTGTGTTTCATAATTTTATTAATTAATTTTGTTAATATTAGACCCTAATTGTTTCCCCGGGGTGACAATTGCAACCTTACTATTTTGTGTTGGTAGGTTAGTTTAGCAATGCGTAGCGATCTTCTACTGTATCCGTTTCAAGAGTTTTAGAAAATTCAATATAAATTTGAATATTTTTTTTTTATAATGAAACTACTAACCCCATCTATTTGCCAGATGTTTGTATTCGACTCAAGGTCCTACATTATTTCTTAACATATCCGATGAGGGCGAACGATATTAAGCTTGTCGGTCACGCCTTCATTTCAAACCGCGAAATAGTTTCGTTGCTCTTTTCTTGTTGCAACCGTTCGCTTGATCGGACCTGTGTTTCGAATGAGTTCCTAAATTAGGGGTGAGTTACAAAGAAAGTTTTTTTTTTATATTTCAGATGAATAATTGTTTTTCAGACTCTTTTTTCGGGAGGTTAAACTTTCAATGATTATGTTAAATTAACTGGAACATTTTCCGACAGTCCAATACTTACTATAATATGGCTTCCAATAATTACATATAATACAAATGGATCCTTACTATTAATTATCTGATGGAGTAGTTAAAATTACATATAATACAAATGGATCCTTACTATTAATTATCTGATGGAGTAGTTAACAGATGGACGGAAACAGGATACCTCTTCTTCTTTGATTTTCCGGAGAATGGATAAATAAGGTTGTACCCTTTTTTATTAAGCCCTATCAAGAGCGAGAATCTTCTTTATGGATTCATAGAGACAAAATATTGGAATATCTTAATTTTATTTAAAGTTTTTTTTACTTAATATGTTTAACTAATATTTAACTACTATTATATCCTAAATGTGAACAAATTTCGAAATTTGGGAAAGAAACATAGTTTCATTAATTATTAATGATCAATTTTTGATTTACTACGATATAAAGTTGTTCTTTTATTTGTAATAATACAATTCCATTTATTATTAACAACCAATTTTTGATTTACTATGATATGTAGTTGTTTTTTTTTGTTATTAATAAAGTCAATAAGAAACGTATGTTTTTTATAATTTTCAGTTTTAGTACAAGCAACCAGGAAAGTAGAGTATAACTTGAATAATAACTCCTGTTATTTGAGTTGGTTTTCACAAGTGTCTAGTTGACACATTTCTAATTTTTAGATAGCTATGTTGTATTCCTTTACGGAACTTTTGATGTTCTTTGAATATATAATTTTATTTGCAGCACATAGTGCCAAACAATAATCTTAAATAAAAACACTTTATGACATTTTACAGCTTCATTAATTTTTAATAGTCAATTCGTGATTGGATACGATAATTAGTTGCTTTGTTTATATTAAATCCAACTTGAAGTAATATGC